CAAATTTTCATTCCATTTTGAGGATGTTGCGGGGGTCAAATATGCGGTCAAACAGGCACCAAATAATAATAATAATTCTAACAGGAACAATAGGGTCTTGCACTTGGTCAGTGCTCGATCCCTTATTAATAACCAAAAACGAAATGTAAAGATATAAAATCTATGCCTTTTGAAAAGAGAGGCCAACAAAAAACTCAGTTTTTCTCTATATAAACGAATTAAACACAACCTTTTGGTCCATTGTCTTTCTCCTGCACTCACCCTGGTGCATTTTGGGAAGTTAGTATGTATCTATTTTGAGTGTTACTAAGACACATGCACACACGCACACACACTCTTCCAGAGCTTTAAACCCCATTTTCATTTTCCCTAAAGCAGAAAGGAAAATCCCATTTAATAAGGGACATCTTGGATAGAACAAACAATGAAACTGTCATGGCTCTGCTCCCCTCCTGCTCCCTTTGCTCCTCCCCCTTCCCTGTGTGTCTGAGGGTGCGGCCTCCATTCTCCTCACCTGCTGCCTGCTGTCTCACCTGCTCTCAATCATTCATCATGCCTCAGTCTTCAAGAACCCCGGTCTTCCTCCCATTCATTGCCAGATTGTTTCAGCCTATGTGGTGGTAACTCTCGTGGCTCTTTTCAGTGTTAAGTTAGGCAACTTCAAGCCCTCTTGTGTTTTCCCTGTGCCTGTCCCCCGGTTAACCATTTCTCTCCCGTGCCCCAGGGTCCCTTTGTGCAGTTTGGCTTCCTGTGTCTGCTCACCTGTGCCTCTGTGTCTCCAATCTCTTCCGCCATCTCACCCACCCGTTCCTGCTGTGGCCGCCCCTCATCCCCCCTGTGTGTGTGTGTGCGTGGAATAAAACCCCCTTTAAACCTTCCATACTGTCTGAGTGTCTGCTCCTGGGTCCGGTCCTAACACCAGCCTTGACAGAACAATCTGGCCAGCATGGACCCAGCGGACCCAGACTCCGTCCGAAGCGCACTGGTCTACCAGGGACAACGAGGGAGCCAACAGGAGAAAGTCCTTGACGAGATCGTGGCAGCCATCCAAGACCTTCGCTGCAGTGTGGCCGCCCTTGGTTCCAAGCTCGATCAGGTCTCCACCCCTCCCACAGCCCCTACCACCGCCACTGAAGCAGCTACTCCCTCTGCCTCTCCAGCCATGCAGCATGCGGCTCCTCCTCCTCCTCCGCCCCGGGAACCATACGTTCCTACACCTGAACGGTATGCTGGGGATTTGGGGGCTTGTGGGCGGTTTCTGCTTCAGTGCTCGCTAGTTTTCCAACAACAGCCGTTGACCTACAGTTCTGATAGCACCCGAGTGGCTTTTGTGATTAGCTTATTTTCAGGGAAACCAGCTCAGTGGGCAACCGCCCTGTGGGAGAAGCACTCCCCTATTTGTGATACCTTCCAGCGATTTTCTGACGAATTAAGAAAAGTTTTTGATCATCCAGTGCAAGGCAAAGAGGCAGCTAAACGCTTACTGAATCTTCGTCAGGGTTCTGGTTCAGTAGCTGAGTTCTCAGTCGAGTTTAGAGTTTTAGCGGGATAGAGTGGTTGGGATGAAGAGGCGTTGCAGACTGTTTTCGTGCATGGGCTGTCAGAGGTTATGAAGGACGAGTTAGCGGCTAGGGACAGCGCTGCTAGCCTTGACGAGCTAATCTCACTAGCAATTAGGCTTGACAATCGTCTTCGTGAGAGATGGCGTGAGAAGTGGGGGCGCTCACAAGCCTCTCCTTTCCATGCCTTACCCAGAGCCACCATCTCAGTAGATCCCCAGTTAGCAGCCCCATGCAAACATCCCTCGAGCCAGGTACCCCCCGAGCCCGTAGAAGAGCCGATGCAATAGGGTCGCACCCACCTCACTCAGGCAGAACGCCAACGCCGGATGAGGTCCGGGTTATGCATTTATTGTGGCCAGCACGGTCACTTCTTGGCTGCCTGCCCCCAGCTGCCAAAGAAAGAAACGGAGAATGGTGGTACTCCTGTGAGCCAAGTCCCCACTTCCTCCTCTGCCCCTCTTGGTCGCTTGGCAGTCCCTCCGACCTTGCATTGATTATCGAGGGCTTAATGACATCACCATTAAGAATAAGTACCCTCTCCCTCATTGATCCGGCATTTGAACCCCTTCATAAGGCTAAAGTATTCACGAAATTAGACCTCCAGAACGCATACCATCTTGTCAGGATCAGAGAGGGAGACGAGTGGAAGACTGCCTTTAACACCCCTTTAGGCCACTTCGAATATTTGGTGATGCCCTTTGGATCGACCAATGCGCCAGCTGTGTTCCAGGCCATGGTCAATGATGTGCTGAGAGACATGCTGAACAGGTTCCTGTTCGTCTATTTAGATGACCTACTCATCTTTTCGCAGTCCCAGGAGGAACATGTTCAGCATGTCCGGCAGGTACTCCAGAGACTCCTAGAGAACAAGCTTTACGTGAAAGCCGAGAAATGCGAGTTCCATGTGACATCCGTGTCTTTTCTGGGGTTTATTATTGAGCGGGGGCAGGTTAAGGCTGACCCAGCCAAGATTCAGGCCGTGGCTGATTGGCCGAGACCCACCACTCGCAAACAGTTGCAGCGCTTCTTGGGGTTTGCTAACTTTTACCGCCGCTTTATTAGAAATTATAGTAAGGTAGCAGCCCCCCTGACTAAGCTTGCCTCGGTGAAAGCACCGTTCGCTTGGTCCCCTGAAGCAGAAACAGCCTTTCTAGCCCTGAAAGAGCTATTTACTTCTGCCCCGGTGCTGCATCATCCTGACCCCTCCCTCCAGTTCGTGGTGGAGGTGGATGCCTCTGACACTGGCATTGGGGCAGTACTCTCCCAGCGATCCCCCAAGGACCAGAAGTTGCACCCCTGTGCCTTCCTCTCCAGACGCCTGTCCCCAGCCGAGAGGAACTATGACGTTGGGAATCGAGAGCTGCTGGCGGTGGTGGTAGCCCTTCAGGTGTGGAGGCATTGGTTGGAGGGTGCTGCTCTCCCGTTCATCGTGTGGACGGATCACAAGAACCTGGCGTACCTCCGCTCGGCCAAAAGGCTCAACTCCCGTCAGGCCCGGTGGGCTTTGTTCCTTGATCGTTTTGTTTTCACCCTCACCTACCGACCTGGGTCCCGCAATGCCAAGCCAGATGCCCTATCACGCCAAGCCGACCCCGAGACGCCGGGGACTGAACCAGAGACCATCCTTCCGGCTTCTTGTGTGGTGGCTGCAGTGAACTGGCGGATAGAGGCTCTGGTGAAGCAAGCACAACGCTCACAACCTGACCCAGGTAACGGCCCCCCTAACCGACTTTTTGTTCCAGACTCAACCAGGTCCCAGGTCCTCCAGTGGGCTCACTCTTCTAAGATCTCTTGCCATCCTGGTTACCAGCGAACACTGGATTTCCTACGGCGGAAGTTTTGGTGGCCATCCATGGCGAGAGACACGAGAGCCTTTGTAGCCGCCTGTTCTGTCTGTGCCCACGGGAAATCCTCCCACCAGCTGCCAGCTGGACAATTACACCCCTTGCCTGTTCTAAGTCGCCCCTGGTCCCACATCGCCCTGGATTTTGTTACTGGACTGCCTACCTCTGAAGGTAATGACACCATTCTCACTATTGTTGACCGTTTTTCTAAGTCTGTCCATTTCGTGCCTCTGCCCAAGCTCCCCTCGTCCCTAGAGACTGCCAAACTCCTGGTCACCCATGTGTTCCGCCTACATGGAATCCCTCAAGACCTAGTTTCAGACCGTGGTCCACAATTCGCCTCCCAGGTTTGGCGAGCCTTCTGCCAGGCCTTGGGCGCTTCTGTCAGTCTATCCTCAGGTTACCACCCACAATCCAACGGCCAGACAGAACGGGCTAACCAGCAATTGGAGGCTGCCTTGCGCTGCGTCGTCGCCCGACATCCGGTCTCCTGGTGCACATTTCTTCCGTGGATCGAATATGCTCATAACTCCTCACCTGCGCTGCCACAGGTATGTCCCCGTTCATGGCAGCTTATGGTTTTCAACCTCCATTGTTCCCATCTCAGGAAGGGGAGGTGGCGGTCCCGTCAGTACAGGATCACCTGCGCCGCTGTCGCCGGATTTGGACTGAGGCTCGTGCAGCCCTGCTACGGACAGCGGCTAGAAACCAACGCCTGGCGGACCGCCACCGACTCCCTGCCCCCGATTACACTCCTGGTCAGAAGGTATGGCTGTCTTCTCGAGACCTGCCATTGCAGGTAGAGCCTCGAAAGCTGGCTCCACGATTTATTGGACCTTTTTTGAAGTGGACAAAATCATCAATCCTGTGGCGGTGAGGTTAAAACTCCCTCCGTCATTACATGTGCATCCTGTGTTTCACGTATCTCTCCTGAAGCCTGTCTCCTCCAGCCCTCTGTGCCCTCCGGACGCCCCCCCGGCTCATTGACGACCACCCAGCCTACACAGTTCGCCAGATCCTGGACGTCCGACGGCGGGGCCGGGGTTTCCAGTACCTGGTGGACTGGGAAGGGTACGGGCTGGAGGAGCGTTCTTGGGTTCCCCGGCACTTCATCCTGGATTCCTCCCTTCTTTCGGACTTCTACCGATCCCATCCTGACAAGCCCGGTAGGCCGCCAGGAGGCGTCCGTTGAGGGGGGGGGGTACTGTCATGGCTCTGCTCCCCTCCTGCTCCCTTTGCTCCTTCCCTGTGTGTCTGAGGGTGCGGCCTCCATTCTCCTCACCTGCTGCCTGCTGTCTGACCTGCTCTCAATCATTCATCATGCCTCAGTCTTCAAGAACCCCGGTCTTCCTCCCATTCATTGCCAGATTGTTTCAGCCTATGTGGTGGTAACTCTCGTGGCTCTTTTCAGTGTTAAGTTAGGCAACTTCAAGCCCTCTTGTGTTTTCCCTGTGCCTGTCCCCCGGTTAACCATTTCTCTCCCGTGCCCCAGGGTCCCTTTGTGCAGTTTGGCTTCCTGTGTCTGCTCACCTGTGCCTCTGTGTCTCCGGTCTCTTCCGCCATCTCACCCACCCGTTCCTGCTGTGGCCGCCCCTCATCCCCCCTGTGTGTGTGTGTGTGTGTGTGCGTGGAATAAAACCCCCTTTAAACCTTCCATACTGTCTGGGTGTCTGCTCCTGGGTCCGGTCCTAACACCAGCCTTGACAGAAACAATGCAACAACAAACATGCTTTCATGATACAGGTGTCTGGACAAATCCACAACTTCTACATTGTCATTAGCAGGTCATTTTTCAAACAGAGCAAAGAAGGTTTGAGTGGTGCACCATCATCCAACCCCATGAGTACCTTCTGAATGAAGGTGAACGTGTTAACAAGCTTTTTTGGGTAGTCCAGATGCAAAGCATAAACCAGCCCAAACAGTAACACATTCTTCGGCAAACGTGGCAATGTCCATAACCAACTCATCTTTCACCACAATGGCTGTGCTTGCAGGACTGAAGTGAACTGGAGATGTACTTCTCTCTGTGACCACTGTGAGAATACCAACAGGAGTGTCACTGATGTCTGGTTCCTCCGATTCCTCACTCTAGAAAATGCAAATGGGGGTTCAAATATGGTTAGCTAGAATGAATCAGACAACTGCATTTTTGCAGCAGGTGAGTGTTTCTTTTTGAGTCATCATTACTCAGCAAGAACATGGATAGGTATTTTACAATAGAGTCATAATGCAAAAGTACACTGGTAAGTATTTCTGAACACTTTTCTACAGCTGCCCACTCAACAACTAAGTATATGACTAAGTATTACACAATAACTACAAAGATAAGTAACCCCTCCTCTCCCCCTCCAATTAAGGTTAAGTGGCTCAACTAGAAAATTTCCTCTCAGAAATTTTGTGAAATCCCAGGGACCTCTGCTGGGGTGCCATCTTAACCTGTGTATGTGTCTGAGAGAGACAAAGAAAGAGAGGAGTGTGTATGTGATGGTGAGAGAAAGAAGCCTTAGGGCCATAATTACAACACCAAGGCACTTCAAAATAGCTCCAATGGTAAAAGGTGATTAGTGATGACATCTTTAATATAAATATATTAAGACTTACATTCCAAGTCTTGAAAAACTGTGTGTCCTCTTCCCGCAGGTATACTGAGAGAGCAAGAAGGGCAACAGTGCGTTTCATGTTAATATCATGCACATCCTGGGAGGATAAACAAAAACAGATGAGAAAAAACCAGGGGCCCTTTGCTGCCAACATGACTTACTCTGCTAGTAAGTCTAATTGAGAACAGGTTAAAAGTGAAGGACTGCCCCTTGTATTTTTTTCAACTCACCTCAATTTCATAATACTGTAGGATGTCTCGCAGTGCTCCTGCCACCCTTCCAGTACGAGCTGACTTCTGTCTGTAAAGTCCTATGAGCTGTGGAATGTGCCGATCTAGTTCAGCATAAAACTGGTTCCGTAAATTTACGTTGGTGATCCTGTGGAACTCAGCACAGACCTACAAAATAACAATGACACACAAAGTATGTGAAAGACGTAAGAGTAAAACACCAAAGAGAAATACCTCATAAACACTTTGAGTCTGTTTTATTGTTTTTGTTATTTTCTTTTTTACCTGTGATTGGACCTGAAGGGCAGGCCATCTCTCCAGAAAGTCCTTCACCAATGGGTCTCCCTGAACAATTTCCTGACGACAAAGTGCAAAGGTTGTCTGCATGAGTTTCTCTATTGATTGTAGGTTTCTGTCGGCTCTATCAACTTCAGCTTTCATCTGTAGTCTCATTTCCTCCAAACTGTCCTCGTTTTGTCCTCTTGGGAAGTTTGGTAGAAAGTTCACTTCAGCCCTACTGGCTTTTTTAATGTTGAAGTGGGGATGTGCTTTCTCAGGATTATTCCTGCTTCTTTTCCCTGTATTTACAGACACCTCCTTGCATCCAGATCTTGCCAGTCTAGTACGGTAATTTCCCATTTTAAATTTCAGGCTAATTTTCCATCCGTACCACCCACTCGCACTCCCCGGCTCTTTCAGACATGGGTGAGCGTTAACCAGGGCTTCAGCTGCCATGCCTACATCTCTGTCGCTTGGGTACGGTTTGAAAGAGTACATTAAGGAGGCCATGCTCTCTAGAATGTTGTGTTTTTGTGCTCTGTTTAATTTTAGAGTCTTTCCGGAGCTCTCAAAAACACTGTTCCCCTCTTGCAAGACATGTTCAACTTCATACGAAAAAGTTGGGACAGGGAAAACATCAGGCCTTGGTTTTTGCTGTTGGCTTACAGGCACATGAGGCAGGATATCTGTGTCCGAACTACCACATGAACTTTGATAACCTTCTGATCTAACAACTCTAAGCGTGCTCTTCTCTGGCAGGTCTTCTACGTCAACCAAACAGCAGAGCTCTCCTCCGAAGTCCGGATCCTCATACTGTTACGTGAATTCAAAGTCCAGCCTTGGCTTAACTTTGTCTTTCAAGATGCCAATGAGCTCATCAACTGATGTTGGCCTCTCATTCAAAGTCACTTTCACAGCCACAACAGTGGCTATGTAGACACGAAGAAGGTACTTTGGGGGCATGGCCATCAGCTGAAAATCAAGAGAGAGAACAGTTAACAAATTTTGTAGGGAATGAAACAACATAACTTATTCTGAAAAATCCTCTCTACACATTCATTCACACAATCAAAAACTTAGAATGAAAGAATTTAGATATTTGACTTAGATAAAACATTACTTTCATCTTAAAATCAACTCAATATTCAGATGCTTTGTAGTTTGAGCTACGGTATAAAGGTATAAATTACTTTCTGTGCAGCTGTATGAAGTGCTTGGGTGTCAACAGAAGTGATCCTTCAACATGGTACGCAGATAGTGGTGAGCTGTCATTAAGCTCTAATATGTTGTTGACAGTTAAATTTCCAGGGTAAAGTCTGTACGATCTCAAGTGTTCAATGTAACATGACTTGTGCTCCCTGCATAGAAACATTACATCACTGTTAACAAGTAGGATCTGTTCAATCCTGCTAAACTGAGGTAGTCCTCCCTCTTGTCCCACAGATACAAACATCCCAACATCATACATGGTGCTATCCAAAGTGATGTTTGACGTGCTGTATATCATACTGCTGTCTGTTTTTTGTCTAATGTACTGTTTTGCAACATCTGGAAGCACTGAGACCAAGACTGAAGACACATTTGATGCCTGCTGGTGTGGTTTAAATAATGAGGGTGCACTGAGGTAGTATGCTACCATGTGCTGATGCCGTGTTGCTAGGGTTTTCAACACATTCTTAAAGTTTTGTGTATCGTGTATTACACGCTTGAAAAACCTATGCTTTCCTTCGAATCTCATAGTCCACAAATGGACAAGGGGTCCAAAACAACGTATCAGATCTGGGTAGTGCTCTAAATAGTGATGCTTAGGAAGCTGAACTCAGGGAAAACCTCCTCAAGCATTTGTCTGTGATCATGAATCTTGGTCTTCAAATACTCAATAGATACATCATCAAATGTTGGGGACAAGACTAGTTCAACAATATCTTTTAAATCCCATCAATATAGTCCAAGTCCCATCTCCATCAGGAACTGCCTGGCCTATCATCAATGGCAGTAGTCATAACAATGTGCTGTTTTCGTGACCATTACCACCAATTGACCGCTTTCTGGCAAAGGTCTTTGAAACTGGCCGTGGTCTGTTAACTTTATCCGAGTTTTCGTATGGGAATGACATGATTTTCGTGTTTAGTCCCTCAAGAGTAAAATATTTAAGCCTTATCATCTCCTGAATGCAGAGGGCCAACTCTACTGGCACAATGCCCTCAAAAAGGTCATGTAAAATATCAGGTGGGAAGCCAGTGGTTGTGTGAAAATGCTGTAAACTCTCATTCAAGACACAATCCCCTTTGACACCAACTGCACTGTGACTCTGATCCCCTTGCGTAACAGCCAGCAAATTACGGTCATGACTGGCTTTGGTCCTCAGACAAAATTCACCGTCTCCAACTTCATGAGACTGAATCTGGTCTTGTGTGGCATTGCAAAAACGACAAATGTGTCCTGCACGGAAGGATTACATGAAGCGTGCTAATGTGTGTGCTGCCAGGTTGTCAGACACAACACAAAGAACAGTACTTTGAACTGACTGGCCAAAAGACTCAATGAATACACCGTCTTGTTCAAGTGTGCTAAGGTCTTGTAACAAAGGACGGAGAACTGTTTGGTATCCATACTTCTGGACATCAGGGACCTTACAAATTGCTGCTAGCTGAATAACATGCAGCGCTGATCTGTATTTAAGTGGTAGATCTGCAAGCACCCAGTAAACTGAGCACAGTTTGTGTATTTTTCTTGAAGTGCCTAAAGGATTGGCTATTTCAATTGGTTTGATTTTGCCTCGTTCTGACGTCATTACGTTGCATACCTCTGTGCATTCAAAGGTTTTGAGCAAGACAATAATGATCACTCAGACAATTTAAGTAGCACGAAATTATAACTACAGTCCTCGTTCGGAACACTTAGTAACTTAAAGTTGGGTTGACTTGATAGCGGATTTTGATTGCTGTTTTCACAATACTTTTGAGTTAGTAGTAGTGTTCGGGTTTACAGTGTAATAATTACACTCAACAATGATTAAATTTAACTACTTCTGAGGAAAATATCAGTAACTCCGGAAAAATTACTCTCCGGTTTTTCCTGTGTAGGGAGACCAAATGCTCTGAGTGTTATGAAACTGTGTTGCTCATGCATGAGACTGCAGGTAGAAATGAAGCTCGCCTGAATAGCTGGGAGGTCCCATTTGCAAACGCAAACTCTTGAAAAGATGATTCTCTCTTCTAGCGGAGGATTTCCATGACAAGTGTGGTATTGCAGCCCTTACTTTTGTGAATTTTTGCAATCTACTTCCTGCAGCACCAGCCATGACTGGGAGGGTTTATTGTGTTTTCACCACAAGTTCATTAAGGTCCAGTGTGTAACATTTAGGAGGACCTAATGGCATATAATCCTCAAAGGTTAGAAAATAAAATGAGAATCATGTTTTTGTTACTTTAGAATGAGCCATTTTGAGCCGCAATATGGAAAAGACAAACTAAAAGTGTGGTCCTAAATTTCACAGCCACCATAGTTACTCCTACATGCTTGGAACAGGAGGGAATGGCAAGTGGGTTGTAATCTGCAACTATGCTTGTTGCCACTAAGGACGTGATTATATGTGGTAATGCTCTCTATTAAATTTTGTATTTCCAAAATGTTTAACTACTACTTCACTTATTGTTCTTCATAAAAACGACAATGCTTCTTGAAAGACAGTGAAATAAAAAAGAAATGTTCTACCCTCCAATCCTGTGTTCTTTTGTCAATTCTTCAGTTATCAGGCGTCTACTCAGGATAGGCCTTCCTCCTGCCTTGGAAGAGCTATACACATTGAACTACTACCAGGTTATGACCATCAATGACAATAATCAACTAGCAGATCTACAATGAGCAATGCACAATGTACAACAGTAATGAGTTTAAAATCTTAAAATAGTTAATATGGTGCGATGAGAAATTAGAAAAAAAGAAGAAATAATTCAAATCCAAATACTTTTATTTTCTTAATGAGAATAAAGTATATTAAAGCATACAATTGACATACAATGTGTCAGATATTGTATCTTATGGTGCCTCTTCACCTATTATTTCAGACACAGGGCATGGTGCCAGGAATAGGTTCACAATTTCCCACCTCAATGTGGATATTTGAAACTTGATTGATAGTGGACGTCCCAGAGATGGACATTGACCTGGTCTGCCCATTCCTGTAAGTGCGCCTGAGGCTTGCAGTGAAAGGGATCCTTCCCTGCGACCTATATCCAATCAAACTGACTGTGCAGGTGTGCCTTGGTGGGATCGTGATTTCCATAGAAACAGAGCGCTCATTCTCTTGTACAATGGTGTGTCCACTTGAGAACTGGAATGATACCTCACCGCCGACTTCTACACTTCCAGAAATTATGCCAGGGATTCCTCCAGTGAAGGTCATCTTGACACCGGCCTTGAATGAATGGGTGATGTCCCACCTTTTCTCAAACCGCTCTTTGCTTGAGTAACTAGGTCTTAACGGCACCTGACGGCAGTCATTGTTGATGTTGCTAAAGTTATTCATGCTCTCTAAAACAGGCTTGGAGATTTTAGCTCCATCTATGTTGTAACGGACATCCGAGATGTCCTCACTGAGTACATCTTGATTACAGGTTAGGACCTGGTAGCTCTTGTAAAAATACTCACTGCCTTTCCAGGGAAGGAAGAAGGCCTCATTCCTAACATGTACCTTCCCAAGACCGTACTTGTTCTTACCAACATATATATCATAATCCCAACACGTTCTGACTGAATGTTGAGGCACTGAACCATAGGAACCGTCCTGCCACTCCAAGATCTCAAAGTTGTCTTTGTTCACCAGGATATCAAATGGTTCACCTCTCACCTCTTTGTCTGCATAGGGGTAGTGGCAATAAGGACCGTAATTAGGGTTGTAGAAACCGGCATGACAATTGTATTTGCAGACGTAAGTGTAATCACCATCACTGTTGGAAATCCCCACATATCCACCAGGGAGACTGCCAGTCCATGTCATCCATTGGAGGTATTCACTATTACAAAAGGAGGTGGTCTGTCTCTTCTGTCTCAACATAGCAGAAGAAGGAAGAAATTCATCTGTTGACATTGTTCTCTTAGAGGTGATTTCAGGAATCCTGTCCTCTGGAGCTAGGTTCACGGAGACTATTAAAGAAGGGAAAAGGCATAGCCACATTGTGTTAGTGTCATCGGTCTGCTGGATGCTAATTTCTGCTCTTACTGCTTCTATGAGAAATGATTAAAGTGTATTTTGCAGTAACTCATTTTCCTTGGTTGTTGTTTGGCAATAATGTGCATTATGATGCTTTCATGCTGTGGATAAAATCTGAATACTCACTCATGTATCAGGAGCATCATGACCTGATATGATATGCAACATATTTCCTCTACAAGTGTTGCATTGTTTGGAAGAATTTCTATTGGATTATCAGACAAGTAGCAGATAGTGTACAGCCTCTTAGTAAAACTACAGTATAATTTTGTGTCGTCAGTCAGCTGTCATTAGCAGGAAGACTGTTTTCAAGCTAATACTAAAATACTGTTTTTATCTCTGTATACTTCTGTGATGTGTACAAATTCAAAAATGAGTGAAGAAATAATAAATAAAATATAAATAATGACTGAAGAAGAAATTCATAATGACAAAAAAAATTACCATTTCTGTGCTGTGAGCTTTTCTTCACAATGTCCTGAAGACTGGCCGAGGACAGGGGCAACAGGAGCAACAACAACAAAGCTGGAAGCTTCATCTGGAGATCAAATACAGTCCAAACTCATTAGTACATGTAACACATTTATTCTTGTTGGCCACAAAAAATTTTTGCTTCATTATTGAAACAATATGAAGCTGTTCAAGACAGAAGCAGACTTGATGAACTATGTTGCTGTTTGTAAGATGGTTTAAGGCAAAACTAATCTCAGAGTAGTGATAATATATTAGAGAAAATGATTTCATTCATTTGGCGACATTTATCAAAAGAACATTTGCAACATTTAAAACTTATATTGAGTAATAATGATTTAATACAAATAAGCAACTGAAAATGTCTAAACAGAAAAAAAATCGACTTATTTACTTCATAACATGAAGTCATATCATTACATAATATATAATACTTAATATTTTGATGACAGCGACATTGCTATGGAAAAATAATAACTTTACTTAATTATTTTAAATAAATATAACTTATAACTTATATATAATTAAGTGACATTTACTTAATATCTTCACGAATGTTAATTTTAGTGGTATGTAAAAAATAATTTTATATTGGCAAGTTGTACTTGTAATTGAAATGTATTATCTTACAATCTCAAGTTGTTTTTTTCAGTATTGTTGATACTCATTACACAACCTCACATGCCTTAAAACCAAAAAAAAGTTTTAAACCAATGAAGTGAAATAAGTGAAATAAATGTACTCACCATCATAGTCACAGATATCACTCACAAAAGGTTGAGCGTAGATAGCTGTCTTGTTGCTGGATTATATGATATAGCAAGGGGTCAAAGGCCCGTAGGGGAGAGCCTAATTTGTTGTTGGAAATGTAACAGTCCAGTTTAGTCCAATCTAGTTTTTTGAGTGTTACAACATACAGTATTTGAATTGGATATGTTCCAATAAGCCCATAGGCTGTGAACTTTGTAACTTACAAGTTCTGGTCCAGAACACTGCTGCCAGTTTCCTGACAGGTTCTGGGAAGAGGGACACTATAACCCCTAGTCTTGGTTTTAATGTTCTCCTATTTGTGTAAAACCCTTCATGGGCTGCCCCCATCCTATATTGCAGACCTCGTAACCCCTTACTCTAAATCCAGGTTGTTCAACTCGGCTGACTTAGGGAACAACCCCTAGACTGTGGAACAACATCTCCCCTCAGATCAGATCTGCCCCTGCCACTGGCTCTTCTAAGGCCAGGCTGAAAACATACTTATATCCTCTACAGTTTGAGTCCACATGTGGCAGATTTTTTGTCTGGTTCCTATGTGTTGTTTGTCTGTACCTGTATGCACTCTATGCATGCTTTATAAATAATTTTTATTTGGTTTGTAACATTTACTCATGTTTTCTAATATATATATATATATATATATATATTAAAGGTTTCAAATCTTGGTTCTTCAACAACTAATAACGAATAACTTTAAAGACACCTCACTGGAACATTAGTGGCATAAAGGAACTTGTTGCTTGGCCACCATTTCTATTTGGTTGAAATGATCAGGACACTGTGGACATTTGCAGGCAGCAGAGGGCCGCAACGGAGTGACCGAGAAAGGAAGGTCGACAGTGTGATTTTGGATTCAGTCTATTCGGTGGCATTTGAAGTATTTGTATTCGTTTTTTAATTAATTTATTAATTATTCATTTTAATTCAAATACCATCAGTTAATCAATCAAAACTTCAAACAAATATTTTAATTTAACTTGCAATGCAAGTTCATTTCAAACACATTATTTATTTGCCAGCCTTCAATGTTAACAAAACAGACTGATAAGGCAGTGACGTTAGTTCTGTCCTCCAGGTTATCATACGGTATCAATGACCTCCAGTGTATCACGCACTCATTACAGTGCTTGTCAAATGTCATCTGTCTTTATAAACAACATCTAAAAAACTGAGAAATTCAGGTCATAAATTGAATAAAGATCAACAGATTAATAAAGATTAATCAACCATGTAAAGTTGAGTGTCATCGTGATGCTTTTGACAGTAAACCAAACCTTAAAGGAATACTCCATCAAAAAACACAGTCCCTTGTAATGTGGAAAGGAGGCTCAGTGTGGTTTGGTGGGATCTTCTTCTTCGACTCAAGTCAGCATGGATTCACACCAACATCAAAACTGAATTTAAACTGCAAGCAGTGATGATCGGTCCCTCGTACTCGGTGCACGTCGGGGTGTGCTGCCGTTAGGTCACGCACCAGTACATCTTGACAACACCAAGCTACGAAAATTTCACAGAAATCACATCAAAATCGCCACACCAGGCTTACTTCCTGTTGCCAGTAGTTGACTCTATAACAACGACTGAATATTGGCACGTAGATGCGTTTAGGCCAGGGCTCTTAACAAACTTGTGAAGTTTGGGTCCAAATGGAGAATCGGTATTGCAGTTAGGATTAGCAGTACGGGTAGTGTTAGAGTTTCTATTGTCATGTGGTAGATGAATGTTTTAGGTGGGGTAGTAAATGTACACAGTTTGGTTAGGGGGTTGTGATGTTATGGTAGGGGGTGACTGATAAGAATCTGATCACAGTCACAGGGTCAGATCAAAGGACCATTTGTGTTGAAGACCTCAACCTTCAATGTGTGATTTACAGCAGTAAGTTAATAGGATGGCAAATGTGATTTTGGTTGAATGTACTGAAAGGTATATAAAAGAGAGCATTCTGCAAGTTGGGAGAGAACGTCTATGCTGTGGTCTTCTCTCCATGCTGCATGAATAAAGGAATCTGTTTCATCACACTCGGTTCGTAATACTTCAGAGAACTAGCAACTCTCAATATTATGGAAGAATTTCCCCTACAGTCATGTAAAGCCAGAGTTTTGAAGACACACCACGGGCACACTGTCAATGAATATTTATGAGGAGCACAACTTTAAATCCTGGAGATGTTTAGAATGTGCTCATCAAATTTGCAGTTGTTCTGATCAATTCCCTAGGAGGAGTTTGTTGAAATAAAAGCCCTGAAATTGCTGGAAATGCGATACAGTTTGAAATTCGATTAAAAATGGCCGACTTGGGTGCCCGGTTAGCTCACTTGGTAGGGCTGATGACCATGTCCTGCAGCGGCATAGGGTTCGAATCCAACCTGCGGCCCTTTGCTGCGTATCATCCCCTCTCTCTACCCCCCTTTCCTGTTTATCTCCAGCTGTCTCTGTCAATTAAAGGCAATAAAAGGCCAAAAAAATAACTTTAAAGGAGTCATATTATGCCCCTTTTTCAGGTTCATAATTGTATTTTGTGGCTCTCCTACAATAGGTTTAGATGTTTTAATGTTCAAAAAACACATTATTTTCCTCATACTGCCTATAGCTGAGCACCTCTTTTCAGCCTCTGTCTGAATCGCTCGGTTTTAGCGCCTGTCTCTTTAAGACCCCCCTCCCGAAAAGCCCAGTCTGCTCTGATTGGTCAGCATTATGACGCGGCTCACTCGGATGACGCTCCGGCCCCTCCCCTTCGTTGTAGGCAGGTAGCTCCTCACTGCTACTGAGTTTAGCTTCATTTCTACCGTCAATATTAATTCAATAACTGCTTCTAAAGCAAAAACTTCACCAGCGGACATGTTAGAGCGGGAGTCTGACCTGAAATCACAGAGAAATGAACAATATCAACAATCAGGATTACAGCTTTCTGTGACGTTTTCCTCAGGTAAATACTGCTATATTAACTACATATACATATATACATATATATATATATATTAACCTCTATCTATCACATAATGTTAGTGTTTATACCTTAACTATGAGAACCAACACTGTGTTTTATGGTTGTCTTTACAGGTACAGCAGTGAGCAGTGACCTACAGTCTATAGAGCCCAGTGAAGTTACACATATTATATATTCCATAATATTAACAACTTTAGTTAAGCAGTTGTTTTTATTGAAGAAACAGCCAGTAAATGTACCAAAGTAATAAGAGTAATAGTATAATGATTACTGTAACCTCCCATCTGTTATATTCTTTATACACATTAGTTTACTGAGACCATGGAAACAGAAACCTGGAATACTTTATCCTGTACAACATGTCAACATAACTGAAGGAATTACTCATCTAATAAAGTAAATTGTTTATGGGGTTGAAAAACTGCTCAGTAACCAACTGTATCCATATTTCATAGTCTGATATTTTAACTTAAAAGTATTATTACCAAAGTTAACCTTCAGATATTTGTAAAAGCTGCAATTATGTTTGAACCCCATTAAAAATACTGTATACTGAATATTCTATCATTTATATTATATACTGTATTATGATGTCATTTATCTTCCAACATAATAAAGTTTGAATGTGAGACAGTAATGTGTTGTGTTGCTTACAGTCATTAATACAGGTTTAAGTTCCACATTTTCATATTGATAGATGTTACACGAATCAGGTTTTCAACTCTTGTACATCCAGGAAATCTTCATAAAACCTCTGTGAAATAACATGTTATTTATATAAAACCACACTTATTACTGAATTTAAAAATGACCAAAACTCTTCTTAAAAGTAAAACACTTAATTTATATTTCAGTCATATTCCAGTTACACATGTTGTAAGTAACAAAGCTATAACCTTTATGTAAACTGTGTAGATCATGTTCTCCATCAAGGTTTATGGTTTCTAGTATACTGAAGTGTGAGCTGGTAATGGAGCTCTGCAGTCAGTGTTCATCTTCATGAGTCTTCCTTTGGATACCCAGACTGTCCTGATGCTGCAGCTGTCTCTGTCCTCTGATGGGTCCAGGAACACCTGAGCTTCATCAGGTCACCTGTAAAACATGGAGGATTCAGTGTTACTTGTAAGGCAGCATATAATATACAGTATAATATAATACAGTACAACAGCTCATTGTGGCTCACAGTAGTCCTATGTTATAAAATAAAATAATAAGCAATGTCTCTGGTGGTTCCTTGTTGCAGCTAACTGTAGTGATGTGTTGTTGAAACAGTCTGAGGTTACCAACACAATGTCTATCTAATGGCAGCAGATACACACACAGGACATTTACTGACTGTAACTGATGTTGTAACAAGTTCCCGGTGCAATAACAGACATTTAGCAGTGAGCCTCAGTGTTTATTATACAATAGGAGATTATATGAGTATAGGATGTTACACTGGACCTACACTTATATCGTCAGTAATAGCAGTACTTCACTAACGCTAAATAAATTGATCAGAAAACTTTTATTCGTCGCGGTTTGACTCCACAAAACAACCTAGTGAGCAACCCCAGCTGCTCGATGCTAATCAAAGTTACACAATATTACTAAACTAATGAATCCCTGCAGTTTGACTATTTCTCTCTCACTGTAGCTCTATTGTTAACTCTGGTGCACATTGATCAAGTTAATTTACACACGTAACACACACACACACACACACACCTGAACGAAGCAGAACAACAACAAAGCTAGCGCTAGCTGAGATAACGTTAGCACGTCAGTATAAAGTTACACAATAATCACCATAACTCACTCCCTGTATTTTGTTAGCTTCTAAGGAGGCTTGATCACAGTTTGACTATTTCTCTTTCACAATAGCTCTATCTTTACCTCCGGTACATTTACACACTCACACCTGAGCGGAGCAGGACAATGGCTCCGGAATAACAAAGCTAGCGCTAGCTCAGCGAGCTAAAAGCTGATGAGCAGCTACAGTTTGTTCACTCAGAGGTTTTCTGCTCTTTCTAACAGCGACAGTCAGTAATATGAACTGAGCACGTTTAACTAAATACAGACCAACATAAAGCCAATTACCCCCGGACACAAAACCCACAACAGTAACAGAGTTACAGAGTTACAAACCCCCCCCCTCCAGCACGAAGCTTGGTGATTCTCTGTATAAACTTATAATAAACTT